TCTGCAAGTATAAGTGTATTATTACACTTTTCATCTTCTAATTCTAGAAACACATATCTTGCTCTCTATCTCTGTATTTTTTTAATGTCTTTATTGTAGTTTAATAGCTAATTTTTTTTTCTTCAATGCTTTTTTTTTTTGCATGTAAATAATAATCTGCACACAGTATTTGCTCTTGAACATGCTTTGCTAAGTAACATGTGCGTGTGTATGTATGCGTCTTTGTATGGAGCACAACAGCCATTGACTTTTTTCAACTGCTTCAACATTCTTGTTTCTTCTCTTGCTAGCTCCATGCTTTTATGCAACAACAGCAACAACAACAACAACAACAACAGAACCAACAAATGCACCTACAACAGCAGAATCAACAAATCCAACAACAACAGGTAACTTTTTATTTCATTTAATTAGTGAAAAATTTTCGAATAGTTTTTCCTATATAATCCACAATAATCTAAAATTTCCTTGTTGTTCATTGCGATAGATGGTTATTTATCTGATTTGTAACTCGAGACTAACATATACAAATGATTTACTACCATTTAGACACCTTTTTTTGTATTCCTATTCTTATTTTAGGCATATATCAATTCAAATCAAAACAACAATCAAAATAATTCGTCAGTCAGCAGAAATGAGGATGAAGATAAGGATGATAATGATGATGATGATTTAGATAGTGATGAAGAGGATTAAAAAACTGGCAATGGATAAAAGTATTATTTCATGTTTTGTATGAAATTTAATCTTTGTTCATTATGTTCGATAGAGCAGCATCTTCTTGTTTTCGTAGCTTGTCTTCTTCTCTTACCCTTTGTTATTATTTGTTACTTTTCTTCTTTCTGTCGGTGTCACTATTTTGTCTGAAAAATCACATAAGTGTTTCTTCTTTCGATTGTTGTGTTGCGTGTATAAGAAACTCCACCGTTTTTTTCTATAAAAAAATCACTGTAGATGCACTTATTTCACCCCTTTTTTGTTTAGATTTTTTATTAGAATTGAACGCGTTAAATAGAAGAATAATAAATTCAATCTTCTATAGTTACACTGTTTTCCTTTATTTCATATGTTTTTTTTTCATGTATTGTACAATGTATCACAATGATAAAAAAAAGAAAGAATTTGAAAATTAAATTTGTTTAGAAAACGACGAAAATAGCAACATATTCTTACGAATCTATATTCAAATTAATTATTGTTGAAATGGTTCTTACAGCGAATGAGAGAATGTGCTTATTTATATGTGCACTTTTGTATACTGTTATGTTGAGGAAAAAATTATACTTTTTAGCTTTGCACTATGTTTCGAGTCGGAGAAGGTATTAAAAAATTCATAATTTTTTCATTTTTCACTTGATCTAACGCTCATGTCTTAGATAATTCAATGCATTGCAATTCAAGTAAAAAAACCTAGTTGTGTCTTCCAAGTTTGATCAGCTTGCAGAAAATGAACTATTCCCGTGAATCGAGTATTATGAACCGAAGCAACGAAAAGGGAATAGTATCATATCATCCGAGAAGAATCCAATGCAATATTTAATACAACAATTAGAATTTTTTATTAACAATAGACATTTCACTGAATTACTATCTTATATCTACAATATTTATATCGAGAAATCTATAAAGTTTTAATTAATTACAGTATGACTCCAAACTAGAGACCTGCACAACTTGAGAAAATGTATGAACTCGATTCGGCCCAGCAAAGTTTAAGCCGAACCTCCCGATTCGATTTGCAGGCCTTTGGGTAAAGAAGCATATGTAAACATGTTTAACGCACCATTCCTAATTCTATGAGAGCCCTACTTTAGAAAACTTCAAGTCAGTCTGTTATCAATCCTTAAACATAGTATTAAGTCAAAGCAAATACTTTGCAGTGTAAAATATTAAATTCGGCTCCGGGTCGATCATCAGATTAGACTGCAGATAACTATTCTAAAGTGAGTTGCTCTTTTTTGCCATCTCAAACAATTCTTACAAATTTTGTTTAGCTGATTTACTGTTCAATTCAACTATTCTCTATGTGACTCTAAAATATTTGAATCCGATTATAAGCCTTAAGATATTTGCGAAACTGTACAAATTCTTTTCTTCTACAATCGATTTAAAAAAGGACAATACTCATAGAACCCTCTAGAATAATAGCAATACGTCAAATATGTAAATTTAAGAAATTCTGAGGACAGAGAGAGAGAAATAACCTCAAGTATGCGTGAACACTTCGATAAAAATCTTATAATAGCAGCGGTTGAACATTTTTCTGTAATAGATTATTTTGAAATTAAAGATGTATTATATTATATTCAAAACAGTGTTCATTCATCAGAAATAAAAATTTAGATAAATATTTTTAGATAATTCTATTGTTAATTCAATCTTTGAGTACAATGGGTACAAATGATAGTTTAACTCATCCAAGAATCATAATTCAACCAGATTGGTTTGAATACGTTCAAAATAAAGAATTACCAGTTGATGTCTATGTAGATTTCAAACCAGGAAGCAGTCACTCAGATTTATCACGTACACAGCAAAATATACATGCTCTATTGTCCATACAAGCTCCCACTGGAAATGAATCGACTGTATTTGAAACATCAGTTACAGATCATTTTGAAACGAGTTATATTGAAAATGGTCAAATATCAGTAAAACTCAAAGGTTCAGCAGTCAGACATACATTCAAAGGTACAAAAACGAATATGAAAAGTAGTATGAGCAATCCTTTTTGTTTTTCTACTTGTTTTAGGTCCGAAAAGAATCTTCAAATCAGCCCATGATTCTATCAATGGAAAAAATGATATGGATACTACGCCTATTGTTAATGTACCAGAACGAAAAATTCTTTCATCAACATCAAAGATTCATCCAAATTGTTTAGATATTAGTCAAGGGGGTCTCAGCTTAGTAGGATTAAGTGACGGAATTATAAATGTATTCGAAAATGAAAATGGTAAGTAAAATAAAAGTATAAAATTTTTCATCCTGTTATTAATATCACTTTTTTCTAGGTGATATTCGTCGTACATTGACGGGTCATGTACAAGATGTTTATACAGCTCGTTTTTTCCCATCTGGTAAGATTACTTTGCCTACGTTTTAGAATTGAAGAAATTTACATCTGTTTGTTTTGAGAAGATCTTTTGATATTATCTGGAGGTGCTGATTTTCGTGTGAAAATCTGGACATTAGAAAATAGTGGTGAATGTCGACAAACATTAACAGGTCACACATCTAGAATTAATGATTTAGCAATTATTGATAATGGCGAACAAATTGTAAGTGTATCAAATGATGGTTCAGCACGATTATGGAATTGGTCTAAAGAACCTAATCAAGCTGTTAATACAATATGCCAGTTAGATAAAGGAATTAATGGTTGTTGTATATTCGAGTCATCTCTGGTATGTGCATGTGAGGATGGTTATGTTAGAATGTACGATGTCAATGGAAACGATAAAAAAGCAACGGGTGAAGTAAAAATAGGTGGTGCTGTCAATTGTGTATGTTATGGATCAGATTATATTGTTTGTGGAACAGAACAGGGTACAATAAGTATTTGCGATTTAAGACAAACAAAGTCTGTTATTCATTCATGGAAAGAATTACGATCAAAAATAACCTCGCTGACACCAGTAAATGATGATGGTGGTATTTTAGTAACAACTGGAGATGGTTCGACATTTTATCATGCAAAAACAATGTTAATAAATCCGAATATTGAAACTGAAATGGGTCCAATACTGTATGATGTTGTCGATTATACAGGACCAGAAAATGATATGGTGTTGAATGCACGTATTGATAAAAATAATAACATTTATACAGTCGCTCGTGATGGTTATGTACGTGTTTATGACAAAGTTCAAGAGAAAAAATAAGTTACCAAATGTGTATGAATCAGCGAGAAATTACCATTTGAATAACTTGAATTCATTAGTATAGTTAACTCGTGATTTGTATTTTCGAGTATTTTCCTATTCAATGTTGTTATATCATATGTTTTTTTTCGACTTAGATGTATATTCGTTTTTACCTTTTTCTTGTTCACTAATCAAGCACTAATCAAGCAGTTATAAGAATTGTTAGTTACTATTTCTTTCTATTTGATCTGTGCGATAAAGAAATGAGAACACGATATATGAATGAAACATGTATGAATCAATAAATGGAATCATATGGTCAAAAAAGATTTATCAATGAGATATTTGTTAGTTTCAGATATTACACTAATGACGTCCACTACTGGAAGTTGGAAACAAGCACTTAAAGCAACTATGTGGAGATTACTTCAATTTTGCTTATTTGTAATTGTGGCTCCACCGTTATTAAATTTTGCCTCAATCAAACGTGAGAGCTCGCTTCTCTCCGAACATGGTAATGCTACTTTTAATTAATCTCATCACTTTAGAAAGTACAAATGTTCTTTTTTTCAGGTTTGCCATACGACGTGGGATTTAATCAAAAATTATTTTTACGTTGTAGAGGAAAGGGCGTACCAACAGGTGAGCTAAATTATCGTAATACAGCATAAAATTGTTATTTTGAGGCCAGAGGGTCATTTCAACTATTATTTTGAGTAATTCTTAAATGACGAAACGATTTTTGAAATTATAATGAATATTGTTCGTTATTCAGCCACTTTGTATTCTTTCTCGAGGGGTTTCATTTTAAGCTAACTTATTGTACTAATATTTGATGTTACGGTAATTATTTTACTATTGTCTAAAATTTTCTAAGCATTACTCTATGAACTTGTTTTTGTTTATAATCATATCTCTGTTTTAGTTATTTTGGACTCACCAACAGGATTTGGTTCCGATGTTTGGCTACCTTTACAAGATCAATTGAAAGAAATCACGACGGTAAAAAAGTCAAGTAACCCAAAAAGATGAATAAACGAATGGCATTTGCTTTCTAGTTGACTTTAGGTATGCGTTTATGATCGAAGTGGCATTGGAATGAGTGAATTGCCAACATCTATACCCAAAGATAATGCACAGAAGGAAGGTATGTTTAGTAGAAAAAGCTGTTATTTTTTGTTTTTAATCTTTTTTGATTTGTATCAGCCGAACAACAAACAAATAAAGTACCAAAAATGGGTCGTGGTATGGAATTTACGATCGAACGGTGTGTATGAAAACAGAGTATCGTTCAAATATTTATACTGTTATATTTTTTCCAGCATGGCCGAAGATCTTCATCGATTAATAACATTTTCTAGTCATCAAAACAAGCCGTTTATACTCGTTGGAACAGAGTTAAGTGGTCTTATAGCTCGATTCTATGCACAAATTTATGAATTGTATGAAATAAATTTTCAAAAAGATATTTGTATTCTAATCACATCTCATTTCTAGCGATATTAGTCATCTATTTTTGATTGAACCATTAGTTGAAACTTTGTTTGACGATGAAAATAGCATTTGGAAAGATTATTGGTGAGAGTAATAGAACAACACTATTGTTAGTTTCTTATTGTTGATTTCAACTTAGGTACAACAAACTCATTCCACATTTTCATATTTTACAACTAGCAGCTGCGACTGGAATTAATCGTCTTCTATTAATAAGTGGTATGATGGAGACACCACTGAAGAATACTATGAATGACAGTATCATTTATCGTCAGGTATGAGACTTTTTTTCGTTTTTAACTGTATTTTGAATAGTAACCTTTTTAACGAAATTATTTTATAGCGACATTTATTATGTAATCCACGTCATATTGGATCAGCAATTCGTGAGCATTTTTATATGAATGAAACGTTTTCTCAAATGAAGTATGTTAATAGCAGCTTTTTTTATCTAAAATTCGCTTTGCATAATAAATTTGAAATTCTAGATTGGCGTGGCGAATGAAAGCATTTCCTCAAAATATTTCGGTGACGATTGTAACAAAACGTAAATATGACACTCATTTGTCAGATTCATTGAACAAGGTAATGTGAAGATAATGAAAAATATGTTAAAAAAACTGATTTTCAAAACTTTGTATTTTTTTTCACATAGTTGATAGGTCTGTAATTTTTCTCTATTAATATCTTTAGGCTTGGGATCAATCACAGCAATATCTTCGTGAAAATTTATTTCGTAACCGTGTTCAACATATTACATTGGATTCAAATGATAAATATTTTATGTTCAATAAGCCGAGTTTACTGTTTTCATCAATAAGCGATGCTATACATGAATGGAGAAGTAAGGGACTTGCCTGAACATGTTGTTGTTTTTTTATAGTTTTTGTTAAGTTTTTGTTTGCTAATAAAGGTTTTGTTTTAATCCGTATATCGTTAAATTACTATAATTAATGAACTTCGAAACATTCTTCTGCACTTCTATGGGTTGAAACTTCATGAAAAGCGGCTTTTTAATATCAGCCATTTATCAAAAAATTATTTTTAAAACGTTTGGCATTTGTACAAAGACAATCATTTCTCTATTCGTCATAAAATTCATGATGACGGGATTTTATGGACAGCAGTTAGATGGTCCTTGCTATTGTGAAAAGATTATTAGTAAGATTTACTGATGAAATCATTCAAGATTCGACGTTGGACACTCAATAACCTTAAAGATCTCATGCATACCATAGCGGTTTTGTGAAAACATCTAAGGACTTGTCCGATTTCTGAAGGAAATGGACGTTTGAGATTTAAAGCTATCAAAGCTGTGATATCACATCTTTTCTGCTGTTTGAGGCCTTAAAAAGTATGAAAGATTCGATATGACACATTTTCTATTTTATTTTCATCCACCGTTTGCCTTGAGGTTAGAAAGATGTGATATATCAGATCTTTTGCAGAGTGTAACTGGACTATGCATATCATTGATGATAGATTTGTTATTTTTGCCGACATATAATGTTTATTTCCGATTTCTGAATAAAAAATCATTAGGCTTTCTGCACTATGTTTGTTTACCACACCTACGTCTTTCAGTAGAAGTTTTTACATTTTTTCTCCGAAAGAGCAACGCTGACAAGCTTCTTAAATTATATTTACGATCAGGTTAACATACACATTTTTTTTATTCTATTATATATATATTTTTCATTAAATACCGTATTATAAATTAGACAACTATGAATAACGAAAATTCCTATCTCACAACTAAACTTTTAGGAGTACAACAAACAAACACATAAAACAAACTGTTGTACTACACGAATAGTGCATATATATTCAATAAACAAACAAGAAACTCACTGCGATAAACAAGAAAAATAACAGAAAAAATAGATTTTAGTAAATAAATATAAGTTGCACAATTGTCAAACAAATATTCGAACAAAAAAAAGAGATATGAATCAAATGAATGTGTTTAATAATAAATATAAATACAGAAAATAAAAATAAATTTTTGTTTTTATATCACAAAATATAATTTTTTATGACACCATGATTCTCAAACGTTTGCATTGAATGTTGCTCCAATGACTGGTGTTAAAATGAAAACTTGAGGCTGTGATTGTGGTGGAATAGTAAAGAATTGACCAACTTGATTACATTGCATAATATGTGATGTTGCTAGAAACATTCAACAATAATTTGAGTAAGACTAACTCATTTGAAGCTTCGAGAGAAAACGTTGATAATAGCTACTAGAAGACAAACAAACAAATAACTTACAATATGCTCGAAATAAGTTTGCTGGTGTACGGCTAGTAGCCGTCATAGCTTGTGCAGCAACCATTATTCCTGCTGTTGAATCCGCCATTGATGGTATACCAACCATATTTGTTGTTATTGAATCATGTAAACCAAATGTTGGTTGCTGATGTTGACTACTACTGTTGACATGTTGTGGCGTAAATCCAAATGTACTTGACATCGGATGTGTATAATATTTACCTTTTGGTAGACGTAATGAGCCTGATCGTTGTAAAGGCGGTTGTGGATGAACATCAAGTAAACCTCCAAAAAACTTTTTGTTCGTCATTGTTGATGGTGGTGGTTGTGGTACTCGTCGATATTTTTGTTGTGATTTTGATTTATTATCATTGACTGGTGGATGTATATTTTGTCTTGGAGAAGAAGTGGGTGCTTCTGAATGTTTTTGTTGATGCTGATGATGATCGTGAACTACTGATTGTGATATTTCACTATGATCATTAAATGCTAAATCAGAATTTATTTCATCGACAATACTACGCATAGATATTGGTGCTTTGATACTATCAAATAATGGTTTCATTTTATCATAATCATAATTGTTCTCATAACCATTCATCCTCATCTGTTCCATTGACATTTTGCAATTATTCAATTAACTAGATTATAAAAATAAGAAAACATTGTACAAAATCAAAAGATGAAAACAGAGCAAAAGGATTCAATACAATGGTACAACTAGTAGTATTCAATTGCAATTGATTCATGAGCAATTGAGTACAAATATGCATATAATTTCTCTATTCACTTCATATCTTCTGAATTTTAAAGAGCCGAACTGCAGAAATGTTAGCTTATGTATTCATAATCCAGAAACGTGAAATTGGATAGGAATGAAACGGTTTAGAAGGAGGTCATAATCGATGAAATAAACTATGTAGACTATTTAAACAGTATTAATTTCAATCACGAAGATCAACAGGTAATACATCTAATTTACTCAGAAAAAGTTACGCAATATTTTCAAAACTTCTAGCTAGATAACTTTCGAGGCAAACTTACCGTTTCTCTTATGTATACACTGTCAGATAAAAGAGCGAAGTTTTTCTTGAGAAAAAAATACGTATATAGTCTGTCTTATGGTCAATGAATTGGACGAATATTTTTATTTTTGACATATCACTACTCTTCTTTTGCGTATCTCTTGATGAAGGAACGTTTTTCAAACTTTTAGATCAACAATGATAGTTTTATTTCTTTTATATTCGACAATACTAACACGAAAGCATATGGATATAAGACAAATACATCATCTTCGTCAATTGATAACAATGAAATAACAAAAATGAAAAGAAAATTATTTAAAAAAATTGAATCGGTTATACTGATAATATTCTCTAGTTCCAAGAGGAGGAAACGAGTAAAAAGAAAAGTAAGATGAACAAAAGCAGAGAACGACTTAATAATAACTATTCTTTTAAATGTTTTGTTTGTGCCAATAGAAATAGTAAGTGATTAATATTGACGTTTCGTAAGCAAGTGACAATTAATGAACAATTGGAAAGCGAAAAATATTATACAAAAGTATTTTTACAAATAGTGGTTAATATTGATGTCAACGATGATTTAGATGCATTTAGTATTGAAATAAATCGAACACCAAAATCAAAATCATTATTAACGGAAAGAAAATACTTGATATCTCGGAGCACAACCCGCAGTACAAAGTAGAAATGAAAGAAAAGTAAAAGTAAAGAATTAATCGATACAATTTGCGTATAGAAAATATGTAAAAAGTAAAACCACAACCGATAAAAGTTTGCGATGACATTTAGCAACCGCAGAACGATGTGAAACTATCAAATTCATCCGCTAGATATTTCCAAAATACGCATGTTCAATATAATGTGCGTTCATTTATCATAAAAGGTATATCCATCTGAGTGAAATATTATTTTCCACCAGCGCAATTTATCGATAGTGTATCAGTAAAAGTGAAATGTACTGAATTACCAGTTTGTTTAAGTCTTGAATTTGCAGCTTACCTTGAGAATGGAGCAAGACTACAAACGACCTTGTTCTCCGCTTACTATTATATTTCTTTTCATGGCATTCTAAATAGTAAGGTGCACAAGTCGATCAATATGTACCATCCGATAAAATCTTGTGTATCACAAGTAACTCTAGAAAGATCGTTACTCTTATCCAATACACCGTAGACATTGCATGCATTTCAAAAATCAATAGATGTTCTTCGCCTTTCGGATCACTTGTCTGGAGAATACAAAGTTCCAACAGATGTTATAAGTGAGACACTTATTAAAGCGGAAATCTTCAATATTGAAATATAATACAGTCCATCTTATTGAATATTTAGTTTGCTCCACTTTACTTATTATCTATTGGCCATTTTGATTTGGGACTATTAATGGACGTTAGTGTATTTTATAAATATCCACCGTTATTTCTGGTGAGGTGGGCTTAGATTGAGCAAAAAATTGAAGTTGGCTTTCGATCTCAGACCTCCTCGAATTCGTTCTTCTCTGGTCTGGCATAGAAGTGTGCAGAGTCTGTGTTAAGTGTATCCTGTACTAAGTATGTATCAAGCCTTGGAATCTGACATGAAAGGTCGCTTATTTTCAATATTCAAAACCCTCATGCTCTATCGAACTTTTACGTCAGACTTAACCAGCTTTCTCTGCTCTATCTAAAACTAGTGCTAGTTGGGCACCTGTTTATTGAATTTTATGAATCCTAGCGCTAGTTTTAGATAGAGCAGAGAAAGCTGGTTAAGTCTGACGTAAAAGTTCGATAGAGCATGAGGGTTTTGAATATCGAAAATAAGCGACCTTTCATGTCAGATTACAAGGCTTGATACATCCCTACCCTATACCCTACCCTCTGAAAATGTACCCTAATCTATTTACTTTAGGTAGTTTGCACCTTATACCTATACATAAAAGTAGGAGTAAAATATGAATGATTCGTTCAGCAAGCCAAGCTCATTTTTCTAGTTACAGTTTTATTTAGAAAAGCTTATCAGCGTAGCTCCGTTGGAGCAAAAATGTAAAAACTTTCACATTGTGCGACTGATTATACGAGAGACGTACTTGATAGAAACAGAAAAACAGACGCCGCAAAACTAGATAAGTCAGATTTAAAATGTTAAGGCCAGAACGGCGGAGACTGAATAGTCTCTGACGTATATTTACACGATTTATTAGTTTCTGAAAGAAAAAAAAACGGGTATGTCCCTCGAAGCTTCCACCAACTAACATTTAAAATGATGTGATTGCCATAAAGAGTCTATCGAACTAACATATCGTGTAGGTGTTCAAATATTGCCTATAGTCGTAAACAATAAATTCTTGATCACTTATAAATATACTCCAATTGTACTCGTCACAACTAGACCTGTGCGCCAGTCGGAAAATCGGCTGCGGCGTGTAACAAAAGTTTTCCGATCAGCGACGGCGGCGGCAGAACCTCATTAAAAGATTTTTCGCCTTCGGCGGCGGCTAAACGATTATTTAAAACTTTAGATCATCAGCGGAGGGGCACAACCAAATTTGAATACGCAACTTAGTTGATCCATTGTTAACTTCATCAAATTTTTTATTTTATTTTCAATCAAAATAATGAAGCTAAAACAAGTTTGTACGACGAGGACCCCCCAAAAACTTCGGTGGCGGCGTCGATAATCCAAAAAGAATTATCCATCAGCAGCGGCGGTGAGAAACTCCAGAAAAGTTCGACGCCTTTGGTGGCGGCGGGGTCGAAAATCTTAGTTATCCATCGACAGCGCCACGGCGCACAGATCTAGTCACAACTGATAACGATAGAATCTTTGGTAAACGAGAAACGACATCATTATCGGTCCCAAAATCTACAGCATGTTTTCATGCAATCTGATCGGTCAATACAACAGTTTTAATCGTCCAAAGCTCTAGAATATGATTATTATAACCTCTCTTTGGATGATTGTTATAACCTTTCTTCTCGACTGTAAACGCCAAAAGCAATACAATATGGGTGTTGTAAACATTCATTTCCGAGTTGTAAACAGAGTGCCAAATCTCCTGATTTGACCAGGAGACTCCTGATTTTTAGACTTTTCTCCTGATGAAAATTCTCCTGATTTCAGGAGCTGATTTTTAAGCTTTTCTCCTGATTTTCAATTATTTTTATGGAATGATAATAGAAACAGAATGAAAAATGATCTTGTTGGTGCCGAGTTGAAAATTAAAATGAACAGTCATTACAATTGTACAGATTTTTATAATTATCT